GCGGGCGTAAGCGAACCCTAGGGCCATTGGCCTCAGGAGGGGTTCAGCCAGGGGGCCAGGGCAGGGGAGCGTGGAGGGAACGAGGCGATGCGCAAGAGTGACCCCAGGCAAGAGTGCCCCTCGGTGCGCAGCTTTACGGGTTTGCGGAAGCGCACCACATCCACGCGCGCCATCCCTCTGGTCCCGCAACAGGGGCCACTCCGGCGAAGCGGCGAAGGGTGAGAGTGGCGACCGCACAGCGCACAGCCAGGTCAGGCACGGGCCAAGGAGCTGCACGCCACCAGTCTAGGGCCCAAAGACGGGCCTGACTATCATCATCATCATCATCCTCCTCCTCCTCCTCATCATCATCATCATCATCATCATCATCATCATGATCATCAACATCATCATCAGCAGCAGCATCATCATCATCACCATCATTATCATCGTCGTCAGCAGCAGCAGAAGCAGCCGTATCACCATCATCCTCAGCGGCATCAGCAGCAGCATCCTTACCCCCAATCATCAGCAATAGCAACCTTAACATCATCATCACCATCACCATCACCATCATCACCATCATTTTCATCATAAGTATGCTCCTGCTCATCGTCCTCTTCATCATCATCATCCTCATCTTCAACACAACCACCATCACCACATCGTCTTCGACGTCGTCACCATCATACAAAAGTCAGGGTGAGGGGGCCGACGGGTCATTCACTGTCCCTGGGTGCGTGGCTGAAGTGGGACTCCGCTGTGTGGATTATGCTTGTCGTTGTTGTTGTGGTGGTGGTGATGGTGGTGGTTGTTGTGATTGAACGTTCATCTCTAAAGAATAATCATTGTTGATATCTGGAAACGGTTCCGCGCGCTCTCGGTCCGACGCCGGCTGCAATTCCTTTGAAAACGAGGCTCCCGCTCGAGCACGGGCTTGATTGTAAATGTGTGCCCTTGGAGGCCCGGCTGCAACGACAACGGCTCCCGCTCGATACTTCTTTACAATTTTACCCCGAGACACCCTGGCCAGAGAGTCCCCCGAACTCAGGAACGGCGCTCTCGCTTGCGACTTCCTCGCAATTCAATCAAGTTGGTGGAGGCCCAGCCAAGACGACAAGGGCTCCCACTCGATACTTCCTCACGATTTACTCCGAGAGCCCCTGGCCAGGAAGGCCCCGGAACTCAGGAACGGCGCTCTCGCTCGAGACCTTCGCGTGATTCAGCCATATTTGTGAAGGCCTAAGTGCGACGGCAAGGGCTCTCGCTCGATACTGCCTCGAGATGTATTCCCAGAGGTCCTGGCCAGAGAGGCCCCCGAACTCAAGAGTGGCGCTGTCGCTCGAGCTCTTGTAATTTTAGCAAGTTGGTAGAGGCCCAGACACGGCGACAAGGGTTCCCGTTCGATATTTCTACGATGTATTCCGAGAGCCCCTGGCCAGAGAGGCCCCCGATCTCAGGAACGGCGCTCTCACTCGAGACTTCCTCGCACTTCAGTCAATTGCCGACAAGGAAGATGTCCCCCCGAAATGGGGGTGCGATCGAAGACGAGGTGGGCGGGTATCGAGGGTTGGGGTATACAGAATCCAAGACACGCGTGCCAGTCAGAGCGAACAGTCTTAGAATTATTGTTGTTGTTGCTGTTGCTGTTGTTGTTGGTGTTGTTGTTGTTGGTGCTGTTGCTGTTGCTGTTGCGGTTGTTCCGTTGCGTTGCGTTGCGTTGCGCTGAGCGGCGCTACGTTACGTTGCGTTGCGTTGCGTTGTTGTCGTCGTCCCCTCCGCGACCCACCCGCGACCCACCCCCGACCCACCGCGAATCACCCGCGACCCACCCGCGACCTGGCCCGCGACCCGCACGCGACCCACCCCGCGACCCACCACGCGACCCACCCGCGACCCACCCGCGACCCACCCGCGACACACCCCGCGAGCCGGCCCGCGACCCACCCGCGACCCACCCGCGACTCATCCGCGACCTGGCCCGCGACCCACCCGCGACCCATCCGCGACCCACCCGCGACCCTCTCGCGACCCACCGGCGATACACCCACATTGCTTTAACGAAAAATCGGCGCTTGCGGCGGGCTTCTCCAGAGCGCCTGCAAACTGCCGACGTTCCCGCCGCCCCCTCACTCTGATCCGCAACTGAGGCTACGTACTATAGCAAATCACCCTGATAGCAACGAAGGACCTGTTGGACCAGTGTGGCCTGTGAACCTGTGAGACCTGGAGGATTCTTGGGACCTGTGCGACCTGTGGGACCAGTTGAACATGTGGGGCCTGTGGGACCCGTGGGACCTGTGAGGGCTGTGGGGCCTGCAAGACAGGTGGGAACTGTCAGACTTGAGCGACCTGTGCGACCTGTGGGACCTGAGGTACCAGAGGAACCTTTTGCGACCTGTGGAACACATGAGACCTGACACCTGTGGGACCTGTGGTCCCTGTGGGACCTGTGGGACCGCTCGTGCCCGTGAAAACTTCAAAACCTGCAGGACCTGTGCGACCTGTGCGACCTGTGAAACTTGCAGGGCTTGCGAGACCTGTGGGACCTGTGGGACCTTTGCGGCCTGTACGACATACGGGACCTGTGGGGCCTGTGGGACCTGTGGCCTGTGAGACCTGGGGCACGTGTGGGACCTGCGGGGCCTGTGAGACCTGTGGGACCTGTGAGACCTAGTGGACCTGTACGACCTGCGGGGCCTGCGGCGCCCGTGCAACAACAGATGGGAACTGTTGGACCTGTAGAGCCTGTGGCGCATGTGGAACCTGTGGCGCATGTGACACCTGAGGGGCCTGTGGGACCTGTGGCGCAGGTGGGAACTGTGGGACCTGCGCGACCTGCGGGACCTGTGGGACCTGTGGGCAACCTGTGGGACCTGCGGGACCTGTGGAACCTGTGGGACCTGGGGGGCCTCGGTGGCCTGTGGGACCTGTGGGACCTGTGAAACCCGTGGGACCAGTGATACCGGTACCACCCGTCAGACCTGTGGGACCTGTGGGACCTGTGCGGCCTGTACGACTTGCGGGTTCTCTGGGACCTGTGGGACATGTGGGATGTGTGTCCCCTGTGTGGCCTGTAGGGCCTGTGAAGCATGTGGAACCTGTGGGAATTGTGGGACCGTCGACTCTTGAAACCTGTGGGACCTCTGGGACCTGGGGCCCCTCTGTGGCCCGTGGGACCTCTGAGACCTGCGAGACCTTTGGGACCTGTAGGACAAGTCCTCTGTGGCCTGTGGCACCTGCGAAACCTGTGGGATGTGTGGCACCTGTAGGACCTGTGGAGCTGGTGGTGGGATATGTGCTACATGTGGGACCTGTGGGACCTGGAGGGACCTGTCCTGCCTCGCGGCGGCGGTACCCCGGGGTGCCGCCGAGGGTAGTTGTCAGGTGGGGCAAAGTACCACATCGAGCTGCTGGATCTTTTCCTCCCCCTCCTGGTTCCTGGTTCTTGGTGGCATGAGGTCCCTGCGGGTGCTACCATCGGCTCCCACTCCTCCTCCTCCTCCTCCTCCTCCTCCTCCTCCTCCTCCTCCTCCTCCTCCTCCTCCTCCTCCTCCTCCTCCCCCTTCTTCTTCTATGCCTCCTCCTCCTCCTCAAATCGTCTCGCTCGGGGCCCGCACCCCGCGAAGAGAGCCGAGCGGCGCAGCGACGCGCCTTCGCCAGGCGGCCAGAGAGAGCCGGGGCGAGAGCGCGGAGAGCTGCCTCTCGCGAGGCCCAGTGGCGCCGGCTTGAGTGCCGCTGCCGAGCTCGAGCGCGGCAGCCCGAGCGCCCCGGAGTCCCTGGCGCTCCAACTGCTCCGAGCCAGGCGCTTCCGAGTTGTTTTCGGGCCCTGGTACCCTCACAGCTCGACCCGGCTCGAGCATGACGCGGAAACCTGACATCCGCTCACGACGCACGCGCGGGGAGCGCCTTCTGAGCCGAGGGTTTTTTTCCGAAGGGCTTCGGCGACCCTCCTCCTCCTCCTCCCTCCTCCCGCCTCCTCCTCCTCCTCCTCCTCCTCCTCCTCCTCCTCCTCATCATCATCTCCTCCTCCTCCTCCTCCTCCTCCTCCTCCTCCTCCTCCTCCTCCTCCTCCTCCTCCTCCTCCTCCTCCTCCTCCTCCTCCTCCTCCTCTTCCTCCTCCCGGCTCCGGGCGTGAATTGTCGCGATGTTGCACTTCTTCGCTGCGTCGGATCTCAGGGGCGGCGGCCGCAGCGCGGCGCCGGCCGGAGCGGGCGCCCGCCCGCGCTGGCCTCTGCTCCCTCGCGTGCCCCTCGCCGCGGGCGAGCATCGGGGAGGCCGAGGTCATCGGGGGAACGTTAGGGGGGGGCAAACTCTTACCAGCCCAGAACATATCCCTATCCCTATGTTGGGCATCGCCTCATCACGATGGCAATCTTAGGGATTTCCTCGGTTTCTGAGGGTGTATCCCTAAGATTGTCATCTCCTTTTAGCGTGTCAATCTTAGGGATAGGGATACGTTCGAGGCTGGTGAAACTCCAAGGGGGGAGGCATCGAGCCTGAGTCGTCGATGCGCCGCGCCGATGGATCGCCGACGGGCCCCCGGAAGTAGCGCAGCCGCGCGGTCCTGGGCGGGCGGGGCCGTGGGCCCCCCTCGGCGATCCACGGGCGGTGCGGGGGCGGTGCGCCTGCCCCGGAGCCCAGCCCCACCTGCGGATGCCTCTGCTCCCCCATGCGACTACACGCAAGAGGGACCCTGGGTACAGGGCAGGCTTTAGTACATGGGATTGTTTAAAATAGAGGATCTTTAATCCAGGATTAATTTAGGTATAAATCTATCCGTGAACTCATCGTTGTTTTTCATACTAAACCCCTGCATGCTTAACACATGATCCGCACGCGGAGCATGCATTAGAAACGGCACTGTAAGAGTGACCCATGGTGCGCGGCTTTTTTGGGGGGCCGCGATGGGACCGAACGCAAGCGCGCAAGACACCACTACCGCATCGCGTTCGGCGATCGGGGGACCCCAATGGGCTCGCACCAAAGGCCGCTTCGGCGAAGGGTCACTCTTACGCGTCGTCGACCACCCATGCCCCTCGCTGCGGGCGAGCATCGGCGAGGCCGAGATCGCCGGCCTGGCGTGGAAGCCCGACCACAGAGACGCCGCCGTGGCGTTCGGGGCTGCAGCGGAGGCGACCACCAGAAGCCGACGAGAGAGAGAGAGAGAAAAGAAAAGAAAAAGAAGAAACAAAAAAAAAAAAACGCCACGGAGAGTGGTCTCGAGACGGCCCCCCCGAGGGCCCCGAGAGGCCCCCACGATGGCCCGGCACGGCCCGAGAGCCCGGGGGTACCCCGGGAGACGGCCCAGACCGCCGCGGGAGGGCTCCGCGAGGGCCGGAGACCTGCCCAGACGGCCCCGAGAGGCGGCCTCTGCCGAGCCTCTCTGGAAGAGCCCGGCATGGCCGTCGCGCCCAAGACGGCCGCAGGACTCGCAGCGCGACCCCACGAGGCCCCCCCCCCCCCTCCCCAAAGGAAGGTGTCGAGGGGCCTCCGAGAAGAGCCTGCTGGCTGTCTGAGCGCCCACAACACTCCCCCCAGAGGCCCGAGGGGCAACGCGACAACCGCACAACGTCACGCTGCAGCATCCCAGCCCGTGATTCCTATAGACTTCCTCAGGAGGGCTTCACCGAGCCTTTTGAGGAGGGCTCCGCAGAACCAGTGCGCCCACGGCGGCCCAAGAGAGTACTCAGGGGCGGACGAAAACCATGGTACGATCGACCCTCTTCAGTAGGGCTCAGAAGAACCACCCTGCATACAAGTCGATGCTGCGTTGGCACTGTGGCGGCGTTTGCCATAGGCGGCTGGACAGCATGTCAAGTCGCTCGGACTCAGTATGCACCCTGCTCCGCATCGGCGTGCTCGCCTTTGTCGCCCGGGTATCCCTCCACTCGTCATGTGCTCCAGTGTTGACGACATGTGCAAACCATTGCACTGACCGTCCCCTGGCGAATAAAAACCTTAGCCTCCTAGCTCATTCAGATGACTAGGGACAGCGGCATGCCAACATCATGCTGTGCAGTCAGTATCTGAGCACACAGACCATTCCCAGGAACATCTGGCAAATGCCACATGCAATTGCAGCTCGGTGCGTAACTCGGTGAAGGCCACGTTCAATTATCGTCTCTGCAGGGCTGGCGGTGGCCTGTGCGAGTAAGGCCGGCAGAACCCAATTGAAAAGACCACACAGTAGCGCGCCACCCAGAGACAGCACAAGTCCTAGGTCGTTAATGATAGCGCCCACGAATGAAACGAACAGGCCCAATGTCGTGAGAGCAGCTTCGCTGTCCCCGGGGGACGCAACACCCGTCGACTGGCGAAGTCGCGCTAGTAGACGGCCTGCTGGCCCCTGCGCCGCGCAGAAGCATAACGGAAAGTTGGTTGCGACCATGACAAGGTTCATCCACCGAGCAAAGAAAATCAATGGGTCCGAAGCTGCATACGATGTCAAAAGTGGCACACCCACATCCTTACCGAACGTCAGGAGTCCACACGCCCCCACGATGGCGTAAGCCGAAGCTGCTAGTGCATGTGCACCCAAAGCTACCATACCCAATGTTGCAGCAGAGCGATGTCGCAACTGCGCATAGTCCGCCACCGTGCCGCGAGGTATTGAGTGGGGTGTGTTCAAGTCCCTTCGCGAATGATGTAGGGCTCTATGCGGGCCCCAGACCCCCGACTTCTGGGCTGTCGCGCGCGCTTCCGGACGGTCCCGCGCGCTCATGGGGTGCGCCGCGTGATTTCTGGAGGAGGCCGCTAGACCGAGGCTGGGTCTCAAGAGCTTCCAAACACGCCCAAGAAGCTCCGAAGACGGCCCCCGAGCACCCATGAGGAGGCCAAGGACGCCCAAGAAGGCCCCAAGAGGGGCCAAAGGGGCCCAAGGGGCCTTCCTCCAAGGATGGCCCCCGAGGCCGCCAGCATGCCCCAAACAAGTCCCCCAAAGGCCCCAAGAAACCCTCCAAAGGCCAGAAGGAGATCTCAATTGGCTCCGAATGCAGATATTCTTGGCGTGCCACAACCTGTCATACATTTTACTCTAGGATGGAAGTGGTACCCCCCCCCCGCGATATTGTGAGCTCTCCAAAGAACGATTACTTTCGGCGGTCCCCCTCTGGCGATATCGCTAGCGCATAGCGTTAAAAATCTGCAAACTAATCATTTTCGCAGCTCGCCGCTCGACTGGCACCTGGCCAATTGAGGAGCGTCGAACAGCCATGAGAATACCAATGGGAAACTATTCGGAACCTGCCTCCGGAGGCCTCCCGAAACCTCCGGAGACCTCGAAGACTTCCGGAGACCTCTGGGGCGGGGGGAGGAGTGAGAGAAGGGAGGAAAAGGAGGAGGACTCTGCGGGGGATATCGCTTCCGCCCCGGCTCTGGTGCCAGAAGCGTGCGTTGCAATCTCCTCTGATGAGGGGGGAGAGTGCTGATTGTTTCGTAGAGTTTTGGTTTTCGACCTTTCAGAAGGTTCCCACTGGCTCTCGGTCCGTCCAAACGCCCCCAGCGCCACGCCCTTCATGTGCACACAACCTGCCTCCAAGACGGCCACGACTGCCCCAGAGCGCACCCAAGAGAGACCCAGACGGTCACAGATGGCCTCGAGGACGCCTTCAGTCGAGCAAGATGGCCACAGCATGGCCCGAGATGACCCCACGAGGGCCCGAGAGGCTCTCTTCGGAAGCTCTACGGCCGTTGTGGGGGGGGGGGCCCTCGGGTCAGCGCATGGGCCAACACCCTTGAAAAACCTGGGCTTTCCAACGTGTTCTGCGTTCTCACCGTTTTAGGCGTCCGACCGCCCACGACGGATCTGAAGGCCCACAGGATCGCCCCAGCACGGCCCGATGGGTCCCCCGAAGAGGGCCCCAGACGGCCCAGGACAATGGGGGGCCCAGGATAGCGCCAAGACGGCCCTGAAAGGCCTCACGACAACAAGAAAGGGCCAATATGAAGGGGCCCTGGGACACACAACCAAATACACACAAATAAAAATATTCCCCATATCTTCCCATATTGTCTGGGTTTTTGTCTTCTCTCCCGCTTCCCCTATTTTCCCATATTTTCTGGGGAATCGCCGATTAATTGTGTCTGTGTGCTTTCCCCTCCTGACAATAGAGGGCCCCGAGACGGCCCAGAGAGGCACCCAAGACGACCTCCGAAGGCGCCAGTCGGCCCAAGACCGCCCGACGACGGCCCCTGGGCGCACAAAGATGGCCCAAGAAGACCAGAGGAGGCCTCCAGGATGGCCCCAAAGGCTAGAATCAATGCCCAAGATAACACACAGGCGGCCCAAGAAAGCTTCCCCGACGGATGGGAGAACACGCAGTCTTCGGTGGCAACTCATGCCAATTGACACTGACCAACGCTAACCGACGCGAGTCGGCGCTGCGTCGACGCTGACCGACGCCAAGTCGGCGCTATCTCATCGACTACCAGACGCCAATCGATGCTAGTCGACGCTAACGCTAAAGACTGAATCAAGAGAGGAGGAGGAGGAGGAGGAGGAGGAGGAGGAGGAGGAGGAGGAGGAGGACGAGGAGGAGGAGGAGAGGGAGGAGGACGAGGGACGAGGAGGAGGAGGAGGAGGAGGAGGAGGAGGAGTAGGAGGAGGAGGAGGAGGAGGAGAGGGAGGAGGAGGAGGAGGAGGAGCAGGAGGAGGAGGTGGAGGAGGAGGGAGGAGGGCAGGCGCGAAGCTCCCACGATTTGCTGCTCGACGCAGTCCACTGCGAGGCCGCACGCTCGCCCGACACTCGCGATACCGATGTTTAGTCGCGGCGCTGGCAGACGCTGAGCGTGGACGAAGCGGCCGGACGGGCTACGGATAATTGCAGCTGGAGCCAGCACGAGGCGCACGACGGGCGCCCCCCCCCGAGAGTGACAGCCAACCGAACCCTCAGGCCAGCAACTCCGAGCACGCGGAGAAAACCAATCTAGAGACCACAGCGCCCGAGAGCGACTCCAACGACAGCAGCGAAAACGACGACGACGACGACGACGACGACGACGACGACGACGACGACGACGACAGCAAAAGCAGCTTTGACGACAGCACCACGGAATCCTGGATCGAGGCCAGGCACGTTACGCACAGGCTCTTCCAAAACACAGGGACCTGCGGTGGCTTGCCGTGTGCGTCTTCGATATTGTGGAGCGTTGTACGACGCGCAGTAGCCATAGCTTACACGCAGTGCGAGCACTGCCGTTGAAGGTCCAACAGACCATGTTGCAGGAATGCGGCTAGGAACCACGTCCTTGATGCCATAAAAATACCCACCTGGTGCGTAAGATCCGTCCAGCAATCTGATGACGACAGCGCCGATAGACACTGAGGCGCATGCAGTTCCCATCGAGGATGTCCACTTCATCTGTGTCATACGCCTGACTCGGCTAAGACAGTAAGCCAACAACGCCACGAGCACGCGAAGCGGGAAACCTGTCAACATCATGGGCGCACCGCACACTTGCAAGAGTGGCGCAAGGAGCGAGTGCATGGTCGGGATGTACATCGTGCAAGTCGTGACGGCGTACATCAAGAGCAGCGCGTCGATGGCGTCCGTGCCGCTCGGGCCTCGGAGTCCCATCCAGACCTGTCTGAAATCGTCGAAGGGTAAGTCTTTCCGCTCGAGCTGCTCACAGGCACGGCCCACCAACACAAAGGTCCACGCCAGGCCGGCGCCCAGGACCACGATGACCAGCGTCGCGCTGCCCAGGCCCGTGCCTCGAGCGGCGGCCTCCGAGATTGCCAGCACGGAGAGCCCCAGGCACTGCTTCGTGAGATTGATGATGGCTGCGCCGATGCCGACGCCGTCGCTCGCCCGATCATGCCCTGGACGTCGCAGCGGTGACCCAGGCCCAAGCAAGGGGCGCTGATAGCTTCGACCCACAGCCGACATGCCAGGCTCTCTCAGCCAATCCGGTGCAGCTGGCCAGCAAGACGCAGCAGTGCAGGCATGCAGCTCGAAGTGAGATCAAGTGTGGCGCTGCGGCTTTGGACGCAGTGGCCTCGAACCACGCTGCTTGAGCCCAATAGCCACGGTACGGAGGCAGAGGATGAGGGATGGGATGGACACGCGTCGAGGCTCCGACCCACTGGGGGCAACTCTGCCGTCTCGCCCCTTTGCTAACTGGGCCCTCCGCCTCAAGTCCTCGGGCCTTGGCAGGGCCGCGGCCAAGAAACAGCGCGGATGGAGCATGGCACGAATCTGAATCATCATGATACCTAAGTCGCACCATCACCATCATCATCACATCACTCTAAGATAATACAGTCTGGCAACCTCCTCGCACCCAACAGGAGGAGGAGATGAGATGAAGGAGGAGAGGAGGTGGAGAAGACGGGGAAGTTCGGGGGGGTACCTCGCGGATTTGGGGGGGTTCCCAAAAGTGTTACGGGACTCCTGGACTCCTGGTGTGCCTGGAACTCGGGAGGAGAGGAAGCCCCGATCCACAGCCACCTCTCTGTCCGAGGGCGGGGCGTATCCATCACCGGCACTCTGGGGACCGGTCACCCAGGACCTCAGGAGGCAGTGGATGCACAATGAATTCATATTCTTGAGACAAGCAGAAATTAGCCAGTATGGTTCCCAACCAGTGCGCTATTGTCACTGTGGAGGTGGAAGCTATGCGGTGAAGGCTATGTGGTGTGAGCTGATGAGGTGAAAACTGTGCGATGTAAGGTATGTGATGTAAGCGATGTTGTGTAAGATAGGTGGGGTGAACTGGATGTGGAAGATACGGTGTGCCTGTGTGTAAGCTATATGCAGTGTCAGCTATGCGGTGCAGCGGCAACGTGGCGGCAACGGGGGGGGGCAACGTGGCAAATCTTCGGGATACCCACCAGCGCACAAGAGGGCAACGAGGCGACAACGGGTGGTAATGGGCGGCAACGTCGCGAAACCTCGGCGGACCACCCAAGCGAGGTGAGCGGCAACGAGGCGGTAACGGGTGGAAACGTGGCGAAACCTCGGCGGATCCCCCAAGCGCGGTGGGCGGCAACCAGGCGTCAACGGTCGAAAACGTTGCGATAATTTCAGCGGACCCCACAAGGGCGGTGGATGGTAACGAGGCGGAAAGGGGCGGAAAGGTGGACCCCCAAGAGCGGTGGGTGGCAACGAAGCGGCAATGGGCGGCAATGTGGCGAATACTCGGCGGACCCGTCCAATTCCTGAGTGACCCAAGTGAGAGCCCCCAAGTGCAAACAACGTGTGGGGAATTTGGGGGATCGGGACCAAACGGTATCCCGTGTTCACTGCCTCCTGAATTGCTGCGCGTCGTCTCTCAGCGAGCGAGCGAGAGAGCGAGCGTCCATCCGGCTCTACTTCGAGTAGAGACGCGCCCATTTGGGCGGGACGAGAAGAGCCGTAGCCCTCAGAGTCGTGGTGATGGGCAGATCCCGGCCTACAGTGAAAACGTATATTAAGGACGGGTGGTAAGGACACAGAGACCCCTGGAGGCCGAAATCGGGATTTGTTGGCCGGCGGGCGACCAAAACCCCAATGGAAGCGGCAAAGGACGGGCCGCAGAAGCAAGGACGCAGGGGTATCCTAGATCCTAGAAAAGGCGCGCGTCCTTACTATGCGCGTTGACTGTATCTCCTCACCGGGTGGCTGTGTCGCTTCTCCTTCCTCGGACCTGGCGTGCCGCCGCCGCGGGCGAGCTCCGCCACCCACTGCGGGTGCCACTCGATCCTGGAGATCCGAGGACCGAGGCTCGAGGAGCTAGGTTCGAGGACTTCTGTCAGGCCTCTTCTGCACTGGTGGAGCTGCCGCACTGCACCGGCGCTGTCTCGCTGCTGTTGCGCTGTCGCCAGAAACAGCGGACCCAGAGAAGAAGGCCTGGGCACACAGTCAATCCTTGGAGACCGCCACGGAGACAGTTGGGGCTGCGCACTTTTTCCCGTGCTCCCTGGCTTGAGGGATGAAAAAACGGCCCCACCCTGGGTCACAAGTGCGTGGTCCGTAAACCTCCTGGGAACCCCCAAAGCCCAGAGCCGCCCGGACGCGGCACATCACGCAGCGGTTTACCCCGTCGGCCCAGAGGAGGTTCAGCGCACAGCGCCTCGCAAACCAGGGTAGGGGCGTTTTTTCTGCCCTTGATTTACGACCGTCTCCGCCCTGTCGCTGCGCCGAGGGCCGCGACGCCAAACTGTGTGAGGGCGTGCGTGCGTCTACTGTCTGCGCATACCCTATTCCGCGTGACTTACCAACGATTCCCTTGTGATTTGCGGGCAAGATTCCTGTCCACATCCAGTGCCTCTTGACCTGCGGCTTTCGCAGGCCTCGGGACATCTCATCCGACAAGAGCCCCTGCCCCCCTCGGCGGAGGCGCCCGCAGGCCTCCGCAGCTCTCTCTCGCTCTCTCTCTGTCCACTGGTGGCCCCCGAGCACCGACCGCCTCGAGCGCGCCCACGGGCATACTCTGGGGCCCCCCAGAGCCAGACAGAGTTCGCAAAACAGCTGGTGGCCTCCTGGGTCCTGACAGCTGATGGGCTCGTTTTCCACCACCACCACCACCATCATAAGTTGGAGGGGGAGGGGGTCCTCCTCCTCTTCGTCCTCCTCCTCCTCCTCGTCCCCCTTCCCCCCTCCAACTTATGGTGGTGGCGGTGGTGGAAAACAGGCCCATGAACAGCACCGTCGCATCACACACTTAGAGAGGCGGCCCACCAGCCCCTGAGATCCGACGTCTCGGAAAGATTGGAGCATCGCGAAGGCCGCGCCTGGAGCCCTGGGACCCCAACTTTCTGCGCCGCTCATGGAGCTGGATCCATCTGTGAGGGTCCGGGGGCCCGAAACTGGGCGGCAACGCCCGGCTCGAAAACATCGAGTCGCCAGGATCTCAGGGGTGCCAGCTCCCGACCGATGGGTGGCAGTCCTGGAACTGGTGGGCCCGCGGCCCCTCCCTCGAGGCACGCACCCTCCCTGCCGCCCGCTGCACGCCGCCGCGCGCCCCCAAGGCTATCCCCGCACCTGGCTGCTGCCCTTCCTGCTCGTGCTGCTGCTGCTGCTGCTGCTGCGCTGGCCTTCTCCTGCTCTTCCTTATACGGATCACCATCCCCAACAACGTGATCGTCCTCCTCCTCCTCCTCCTCCTCCTCCTCCTCCTCCTCCTCCTCCTCCTCCTCCTAAGGAAGAGCACGCGGGCATCTGGGGTAAACTGCGCATACGCACGCACGCGCATCACTGCAACACGACGGGACGGCCTGCTGACTTTTGGAGTGGGCTTGTACGACTTTCGCAGGATGTTGATGAGGTCCATGGCTTGGCGGAGGCCCACATGGCCACGCGGTCGGACCGACGCCCCATCTGTACCCCGAAGTGGGAGTTTCCGGTGGCCTTGGCCTCGACCCCTGTGTGGGCAACGACGGGGAGCAACGAGTTCCTCTATTCCAATGCTAGTCGCCCTGTGAGAGTGCAGTGCGCATGGCTGAGATCACACATGCAATGTGCAGCACGAGGACGCATGAATAACATCACGGCTGATAGGTTGGTCCACAGCACAGGACAAGAGCGCGCACATGGACCGACTGGCGACCCAAGTGCAGGACATGTTCTCGGCGGCAGCGTACCGCGAGGCCTTTGCGGGACTGCGTCGTCTTGGAGCGGGTTCCAGTAAACGACGACCTGTGTCGCAAACCCCGAAGGTCTTGCTGGTAGACGGCAGGTCTGCGCCCACGCCCACGACTGCTCGGGATCGCTGGCTAGAGCACTTTGCCAGTCAGGAACTTGGGGTCCAGATTCCAGCGCAGCATCTACTGCTATACCTGCAGGAGGCCCGCCAGCCGCTCGCCGATCTCGCAGACAATGCAGCCGACGGGCTCCCGACCCTGGTGCAATTTGAACAGCAGATGTTGAAGGCCTCACCCCATGGTGGTAATGGCATTGATGGTGTTCCGGGTGCTCTACTTCGCTTCTGCCCACAGACGTGCGCGCGCCTGTACTTCCCGCTCCTCCTCAAATATATGCTCTGTATCAGGGAGCCTTTGCAATGGAAGAGCTCGCTGCTGTGCGAGATCTACAAATTCAAAGGGGGCCCCCAGATCTGTCGGTCGAGCCATTCGGTGGCAGTAGGCCCCCAAATGGCCAAGCGCGCGCACTCGCTACTAGCGGACCGGCTCCACCCCTTCCTGGAGGCCTGCTCCCCCGACACCCAGCACGGGGGGTTGGCGGGGCGAGGCACCGATGTTGCTACCCATAGTGTGCGTCTGATCCAGGACCGCGCGAGGCACAAGTCACAGTCGTTTGGCATGATGTCCGTGGATCTGGAAGCTGCCTTCCATCATGCCATCAGAAAGATTATGGTTAGGTTTGAAGGGGAGGAGGACATCACCGATGAACGCATTGCCCAGTTACTCTATGCCTCGGGCCTTCCACCCGAATGCTGGCCGCTGAGCTTCGCAAGTCTACTTGACTGGCTTCTGAGAATGTCCCCGAGCACGTCCGCAAGGTTCTCTCTGAGAATCTACGGGGCACGTGGGCTACAACTCATGGCCCAGTCAACGTTGCTATCACGGGGTCTGGGACGCGCCCCGAGGAGCACATCAGCGGCATAACTGTTTTTGTTCATCATTGCTATGTGTCTCCGACGGACGCGGGATGAGCTTGCAGAGGCCGGCCTAGCACAGTGCAGCCAGGGGGCGACCACGCGAACCCTCGACATGCGTGCCCCGCTCGGCGGAATGCAGGGCAGCAGCGATGCTGCCCATGCCGACGACTGCTTTTACTGTGCCATGTGTGCTGCTGCGGCGCTTGTCGGCGATCTCATTCGGCTCACTCACGTCGTCTCGGATTCCTTCACACCCGCGGGCCTCAAACTCAGTGTGGGACCCACAGAGACAGCTGTATTGCTCACGTTTGCGGGGAAGGGTGCCAATATCGAACGCCTTAAGTTCTGTGTCGACCTAGATGGGACACTGGAAGTTCCCCAGTCCCCGACGTTTCCGACCAGCCTCCGACTCCCAGCTGTGCGCAGCTACAGGCATACGACCTCCTCCGCTCGCTCGCTCCACCTGGATGTGTTCAAGAG